AAAATATTAAAAAATGATTTTTTACACGGCACCCCTGCTCTCGACAGACGGCACCCCAGTTGGGAAACACTGCTCTAGAGGAGAGCATTATTACTCCAGTGTGCTCTGTAGCACTGCCTCCACAGCCCTGCACTCAGCCTGTCTCACTCTCCTGCTGTCTGAAGACCATCACTGTCCATAGCCACGCTCTCATCCTGTCTCACTCTCCTGCTGTCTGAAGACATAAACTGTCCATAGCCACACTCTCATCCTGTCTCACTCTCCTGCTGTCTGAAGACCATCACTGTCCATAGCAATCATGCTCCCATCCTGTCTCGCTCTCCTGCTGTCTGAAGACCATCACTATCCATAGCCACGCTCCCATCCTGTCTCACTCTCCTGCTGTCTGAAGACATAAACTGTCCACAGCCACATGCTCATGCTGTCTCACTCTCCTGCTGTCTGAAGACCATCACTGTCCATAGCCACACCTCATCCTGTCTCACTCTCCTGCTGTCTGAAAACCATCACTATCCATAGCAATGCTCTCATCCTGTCTCACTCTCCTGCTGTCTAAAGACCATCACTGTCCATAGCCACGCTCCCATCCTGTCTCACTCTCCTGCTGTCTGAAGACATAAACTGTCCACAGCCACGCTCCCATCCTGTCTCACTCTCCTGCTGTCTGAAGATATTCACTGTCCACAGCAACATGCTCATCCTGTCTCACTCTCCTGCTGTCTAAAGACATAAACTGTCTACAGCCACGCTCCCATCTTGTCTCACTCTCCTGCTGTCTGAAGACCATCACTGTCCATAGCAATGCTCTCATCCTGTCTCACTCTCCTGCTGTCTGAAGACCATCACTGTCCATAGCCACGCTCCCATCCTGTCTCACTCTCCTGCTGTCTGAAGACCATCACTGTCCATAGCCACGCTCCCATCCTGTCTCACTCTCCTGCTGTCTGAAGACCATCACTGTCCATAGCCACGCTCCCATCCTGTCTCACTCTCCTGCTGTCTGAAGACATTCACTGTCCACAGCCACATGCTCATCCTGTCTCACTCTCCTGCTGTCTGAAGATATTCACTGTCCACAGCCACATGCTCATCCTGTCTCACTCTCCTGCTGTCTGAAGATATTCACTGTCCACAGCCACATGCTCATCCTGTCTCACTCTCCTGCTGTCTGAAGACCATCACTGTCCATAGCCACATGCTCCTTCTGTCTCACTCTCCTGCTGTCTGAAGACCATCACTGTGCATAGCCACGCTCCCATCCTGTCTCACTCTCTTGCTGTCTGAAGACCATCACTGTCCATAGCAATGCTCCCATCCTGTTTCACTCTTCTGTTGTCTGAAAACCATCACTGTCCATTAGGGCTGTGCGATTTGGGGGAAAATATCAAATTGCAATTTTTTTTTGACAGATATTGCGATTGCGATTTGATTTGCGATTTTAAATTCGCAAAGTCAAACTTCAGCTCAATATTGTCAATAATGTGCAGCACAGTATGGCAGGGCTCTACAGTGCGACCATTTCAGTCGCATTTGCGACTGAAAACTACTGCGTGCGCCACCTGCTGGCAGTTTGTTTCATTTTAAAAGTATCTTTTCAGTTATTTAAATCATTTAATATTTCTATATTCAAAATGTAATATTTAAAACATTAATATCATCATAAATTTATGGATTTAATTGCACTCATTCCACTTCTGAGCCTCATTAAATGTCTGAAAGTACACCAGGCCACTTTTGTGTTTTTCTGTGCCACCTCTACAAATTAATTTTGTTAATACTGATTTCATTTGATTGGTAACTTATATTTCTTATTCTACTCTTATTCTGTCGTTTTAATTACAATTTGTAAAAAGCTTATAAAATATAATTTTTTAAAGAATTTGACAAAAGATTACATACTTTTAATAAAGTTAGAGGAGTCAAATATCACCTCATAATGGGAAGGCTACTTTTTGATAAAATTTTGGATTATTGATTAGAAGGTGCTCCTAAAATTTTGAACGTGCTCCTAATTTTTTTAAGTAAAAGAAAAGTTAGCGTAGAGCCCTGTATGGGTATCATTACCCTGCTGAAAAAAACAATAGAAACCATCACAGAAATTCTTAGTTTCCATTAAACCATTACAAAAATGATTTTTGTTTTGGGCATTATTCCAATAGGAATTACTGTTGTTCTATTGGTTGCCATCTGCCAGATTACGTCCCACCAATAGAATCCACCAAATAAACACCATTATAGTTTACATTAAAACCAATACAATTCCCATTATAATCCATTAAATGTTTTATTGTGTTTTGGGAGGGGTTCTGTTGTTTTTTTTTTTTCAGCAGGCAAGATTATAATGGTATAACTACTTTTACAGAATTAACTTAATTACTGAATTTCACAGA